GAGAGAGAAATACATGGTGACATTGTATAGGTTTAAAGCCCCTATCAACAATAATAGATCTAGGTTATTTAAGAGGTGGGACCTCCGAGTTTAACGTCAATCTCCGAAATGACCGAGCTAAATAAATGGGAAATTCGTGTACAGTGCTTTTCCCAAGATCACAACTTCGGACCGAGCTAAGGCTCGAACCCCCGAACCCGCAATCTCCCGATTACAATACATGTACAAGCCCGGTAGATTAGCCACTAGGCTACCGACGCCGCTAGAGAGAGAGAGAGAGAGAGAGAGAGAGAGAGAGAGAGAGAGAGAGAGAGAGAGAGAGAGAGAGAGAGAGAGAGAGAGAGAGACGGAGAGAAAGGGGAGGGCCGGAGAGGCAGATTTATTGACATTATTTTTATTGATTGTAATTTCCCGAGCTTACACATCTTTACGCAAAAATATGACAAGACACCTTATATTATTAATCGAAAATAGCGTATCACATTTGAGAATAAACAATTAACAAATAATAAGGCTATTATACTTATAGATTGTATATATATCAATTTGATTACGCCGTGTTCTCATCAGTAATTCGGTAATTTTCTTTTTCTAAAAAAAAATACTATGGTACGATGGTTTATAGTGGTAAACAGGTGAATAATATAGTTAGGGGTCATTTCTAGAGTGGACATTGTATCTAATAGTACTGACCTCTGCCCTGTAATGACGAAAACTTTCTTTCTATTTGCACCCAAAAGATTATTATGTATTTGATTCCCCATTCTGGAGCTCTATGGTATCGCATATCTTCATCATCTTACTCTGAGGATTACGTACCTCACCTAGCCCAGGTTGGCCATGACAGATGAGGTGGGTCAGCGACTTAAATTATCTCAATTTTGTAGCGCAGGCGGGTTCAGAAAACTTTTCATAATCACTTGAATTACTGCATGCTATTCATGATTCACACAATTCCTTGAAGAACACATGATACTAGGTACTTACATTCTTTTTTCTCCTTTGTCTCAGTATGTTTTTCTGTTTGTCGATTTATCGTTCGCTTTCTTCGTCTCTTCCTTCCCACCTCTGACTTTCTCTTTCTCTTTCTCCCCCCCCCCCCCCCCTCTCTCTCTCTCTCTCTCTCTCTCTCTCTCTCTCTCTCTCTCTCTCTCTCTCTCTCTTTCTCTCTCTTTCTCCCTTGGTGTGTGTGTGTGTGTCTGTGTCTGTGTGTGTGTGTGTGTGTGTGTGTGTGTGTGTGTGTGTGTGTGTGTGTGTGTGTGTGTAAAACATAACAAATCATTATTATTATGCACATGCGTATAAACACACCACGCACATCAAATGCTTAACCCAGTCCCAGATGTGCAGTACAACTAGCAGAGGGAAAACTTACTGATGGACTTTAGGCTCATATAAACGAATCATTGAAATTGTCTTCCAACGGATGACCTTTTCACGTTAGACTCGCATGATAAGGTTTAGGAATAAGATTACCGTACGTTATTTGTGTGTATATGGAGAGAACGAGCTTGCACAACACTGGCCTTTTCAAATGTTAGAAGTCTAGCTTTTCTGGCAGACACTTTTCTCAAAAGAGAGAACATTTTGTAAAGGTATTTCTCACGACATTCCTGGTAAGTATTGTAGTCAACAATACCCGAGGACTCACATGGGCAGAGGAAAATATGGGAAACAGAGTCTGAAGGAGGAAACTGAAGAAGACGTCCTTCTCAGATAAAAGAAAAAAGCCAATGAGCGGAAGGCCCTGGATACCAAACAACGTGAAGGAGAAGAGTTTAACTCTCTGGTGAAGGCGCAAAACAAAAGGCGATCTCATAAAATACAAGACCCTTAACAAAGAAGTGAAGAAAATGTACAATAATGCAAAATACACCTGGGTAAATTCCCATTGTAACGAATTAGAGTGAACTGAGAAAACAGATCGAAAACGTGTGCATTGCAAAATCAAGGGCTTCCCAAACTACAAAACGTTATCTCAAAATGCACACTTGTTGACAAAACAGATATAACATAAAAACAGATTGTTAGAATAATACATCGAAGAAAAATGTTTGGATGATAGAGAAGAACAGCTGGAGATCACCAAACCCATGGAAGGACCACACATTTTAAAAGAAGATGTAGAAAAAGCAATTAAGGAAATGAATAAAGGCAAAGCGGATCGATCTAATCTCAGTGGAAATATGAAAGGCACTTTGTGAATGGTGTCGGGAACTGAACAACCTGCTTATTACCATCTATGTCACTAGAAATATTCCCAGAGACACTAATAAAAATTTACATCTACATTCATCACGTTGCCAAAAGCTAGAACCATAGACCAGACTGCCAATGCTACAGAAAAAATTAATTCTGCTGTCTTATGACGGAGAAACGTATATGCTGAAAATGAAATTTTACAGGAGAGACAAAAAAACACTTTTTAAACTTAATGTTTTTTTCGGAATTCGGTCGATCTGATTATTTTACGTCAATATTTATTGGTCAGTGTAACTTTGTTTGAGTTGCTGAGTTATACAGTTAATAGTAAAAGGAGTAATTGATTAAAATTTCTTTTGATATAACAATATCGATATCTAATTAGGTCACAACGCATATTTTCAAAACCCCAAAGCTGCTTTATTATTAATTTTACAGCCTTAAACCAAGATAGAAAAACGAGCCATGAAAAGGGGTTTCTCCCCTGTATAAAAACGCTACTTGACCTAATTACGACTATACGTTATTTTTTGGCATAGGACGGCAGAATTAGTCTAATGAGTCACACAATGAAACTACAACTGAGAATAATAATGTCAAGAAAGAGAAACAAGGTAGAAACAGAGAATTCAGAAGCGCAATTCGAGTTAGTTGCCGACAGTGGAACAACAAATGCCATATTCACTATCACAATATCAACAGAGAAAATCACTGAAATGCAGGTTTGATTATTCCAAAGAATATTACAAAGTAATGAATGAAGAGCTTTTCCAAATGTCCAACTAAACATTGCTGGCAAAGATCTCAGAATTATAATTAACCGTTACTTGAAGGAAAAGTTCTACTTTGTGGAACACAAGCCGACGGTCACAGCAAAAGATGCTCTTAAAAAGAAACATTACAATGTTTTCCAAACTCAGAATATTGAAGGCGTACATTTGGACAGTTCTTTTATATGGGTATGAGTGCTGGTCAATCGATAACAATATTATTAAAAGAAAATTTGAAGTAACAGAAATATAATTCGTAAGGAAAATGCTGAAAAGAATTATTAAGTACTGAAAAAAGACAAACCAAGAAGTACTCATGGAAACAATAAAGAAACAACCCATGCAATTCATGGGAGATATATACCATAGAAAAGTCCTGCTCGGGTTCAGCCAGAGAAAAAGAGAAAGAGAGAGAGAGAGAGAGAGAGAGAGAGAGAGAGAGAGAGAGAGAGAGAGAGAGAGAGAGAGAGAGAGAGAGAGAGAGAGAGAGACAGACAGAGACAGAGACAGAGTGAGACAGAGAGAGAGAGACAGAGAGAGAGACACAGAGAGAGAGAGAGAGAGAGAGAGAGAGAGAGAGAGAGAGAGAGAGAGAGAGAGAGAGAGAGAGAAACCAACGTGTTTACATGGCCGAACTTGGGGAAAAACATCAATGGCTCCTACTGCATCAGAATTCAGGGTGTATCGTAGTTCACACAGTAGTCCAGCATTCCTGCTGAGTAAAGGCTCATGTGACTTCACGATATTATCATAGTTTGACCACAAATATGCGCCAATGTGCCATTACTTTACC